TGTGCTGCTCAATGCCTGGCACTTAGAGGAAAGGTCTTGACTCATATCAGATTATATTTTAATTGAGAAATTAAAGTGATTATAAAGAGAAGTTTATTAACTTGCTGGCAGATGAGGAGGTTGTCAGACTCACATGTCAGAGTACCAGTGTCCTAATTACAAGCAGAAATATGAAGTATTTAAAGGGTGGGGGTTAAGTTTCAGGTTATTTTAAGTATAGCTGATGGTCCTGCTCTCCAGGAGACAATATCCTGGCTTCTGCCTGAACCATCTCAGCTATTTCCCTGTGGTACAAAAAAGCAGAGAACATAATCCACCCTTCAGATTACTGGCCTCAGGCAGGGATGTGGGTTTTAGTTCCCCCCAAAGAGCCAGCAGGTTTTAAAGAGACAGCTCCCTTTTTGCTCTTTTCCAGGCTTTAGCCTCTGTTATACCTAGAAGAAGAATAGCTCAGGTGAGGACCCTCATCAGAGCAGACAGACCAAGGTGCTCAGACCAGGGCCTGCTAGGACGCTCTTCAGAAAGAAGCAAATTGAAAGAGGATCAATGTGGAGGCTGCCTGCAGAGCGAGTGCTTATTGGTGACTTTTCCTCCCCTTGAGACCAAACTGTTAACACTCTCAAACTAGGTGGTATTTGCTTTTGAGTTTACCATCGAGCACTATGCAAACAGCTTTAGCCGATCACTTCTTTTCTTAGAAGTGCCCTGCAAATCTCATTAAAAGGACTAATCCTGGATTCACTTGGGCATTCTCACTTTAATAAGCTTGTGAGAAAACCTAGAAAAACACACAGGTATAGAACAAACCTAGCAAAGGGGTTAAAACCAAAGTCCCCAAGGAATGACCACGCTGTCTGGAAGTCACTCCATGTACCTCATATATCTTTGTTTTTGCTGTGGATAAACGACCCTGAACAGTGAGGGTCATGAATTACCAATGTGTACACCTAATTATAATATTAAGAATTAATAATGAGAGCACCTGTAGTCCCAGCTACTCGGGAGACTGAGGCAGGAGGATCACTTGAGCCCAAGGATTTGAGGTTGCTGTGAGCCATGATGATGCCACAGCACACTACTGAGGGTGACAGAGTAAGACTCTGTCTCAAAAAAAAAATTAAAAAATAATAAAATCATCAGCAGTCAATCCTGTAATGCAACCACCCTTCTGCACTGAGGCAAGCTCGGGCAGGAGGGCTGGAGGAAATGTTGGAGGTGAGTATTAGGCAGGTGGTGCCCAAGGTATCTGCTGACAGGCACAGGACCAGCTTGGGGTGTCACATGTGGACATGAGTGACAGTGAATAAAAGCTTCAGGCCAGTATCAGGTCTAATAAACAGATTTGCAAATGACTCCCAGCTTTGTAAGCAGAGGCTGGAGACATCAATCAAGGAGCAGTCTTCCCATGCCAGCAGTGTGGGGAGGGCTGGCACCTGTCACACCTCAGCAATCTTGGCCAGTTTTGCACATGGAGAATAGTTATAGTTAGTGCTGTCACCTGAGAGTGGCAAGCGGATGGAGAGGACCCTGGGCACCCGATCTCCAGAGACACGAGTTATCTCTGGCCCTTTATAGGAAATCACTTAAAGATATTTCCCCTTAGAGGTGTTCTTTCTCATGATTTATGAAAAATGCCCTCTTTCTAGCTACTGTGTCTCATACCTGTTTTTGGAAGTGAATTGTAGCTTTATTATATTCCTGCTCAGTGAAGATGCCTAAAGAGATTTTGCTGAGTCTCTTTAGGGAGAAATCAGTGTTTACAATGTTATATGTGTGTGTGTGTGTGTATTTTTTTTTTTTTTTTGAGACAGAGTCTCTGTCACCCTGGGTAGAGTGCCATAGAGCCGTAGCTCACAGAAACCTCAAAGTCTTGGGCTCAAGTGATCCTCCTGCCTCAGCCTCCCGAGTAGCTGGGGCTATAGGCACCCACCACCATTCTAGTTTTCTATTTTTGGTAGAGATGGGGTCTTGCTCTTGCTGAGGCTAGTCTTAAACTCCTGAGTTCAAGGGACCTACCTGCCTCAGCATCCCAGAGTGCTACGATTACACACGTGAGCCACTGTGCCTGGTAGTATCATTGTCTTATGGCACAGTTCTTTTCTCTATAAATACACAGAAAAGAATTTTAAAAGTTAGCTTTTTCCAGGCTAGACGAAGTGGATCATGCCTATAATCCCAGTGCTCTGGGCAGCCAAGATGGGAGGATCCCTTGAGCTCAGGAGTCAAGCCCAACCTGAACAAGATCAAGACCCCATCTCTGCTAAAAATAGAAAACAAGCTGGGTGTTGTGGAGAACACCTGGAGTTCCAGCTACTCAGGAACCTGAGACAGGAGGATCACTTTAGTCCAAGAGTTTGAGGTTGCCATGAGCTATGACACCATAGCACTCTACTCAGGGTAACAGAGTGACAATCTATCTCCAAAAGAAAAAAAAAAAAGGCCTTTTTCCTAACTCCCGGCAAGTCCTTTTCCTACCATGGAGAAGTAGCAATTTCCAAAGCTTGTTAACTTTATGGTTTTTCCTCCCATTCTGATGAAAGAGTAGGTCAGTACGCTACTGTCCAATCTTCAAATCATGTTATCTCCAGGAAAGAAGATCTTTCTGAGAACTGTTCAACCTCCTTTGGCAAACAAAAATACAAACGGTTGCAGTTCTATTCTGTTTAGAATGGTGGCAGGGGTATTGTGAGTAAGTAAAGGTTCGACCTTTAGAGGCATGGGAAATGCCGCCTTCCATGTGCTTATTGGAAGATTTATACGCATGGTGCAGGGGAGATTCTCTAGGCTTCGTTTTTATTGTATTGGTTCCCTGTTAGCACACAATTTAATGATTGCTTGACATTTTGAACTTTTGGCTTTAATGTCTCAAAATTCCCTTAATTTTTTTAATTTTAATTTTTTCCTATTACATTCTTTCATTCAGAGATCAGGAAACCAAATCTGGGTTGATGTCTGTGTGTTACAGTACAATGAGCCAATACCTTCAGGCTTTCTCAAAGGGCGAGGCCAAACATGGGAGGTGAAGCTTCTCGTGATCATAGCATCTTACAAGATCATAGCAAATCTGGGCTTTCCAGGGCACGGAACCCGGGGTCATCTCTTTGGTAGCATTGAAAATAAGCAGTCAACCATTTAATGACATAATGTGCATTTTTATAGACTTGTCTAATTCTACAGCCCAATTGCTCTCTGAACACCTGAGATAAATCTTTGCCCATTCCCTGGAATTGTTTAACATGCAGGTTAATTTCTTACTATTGATTTACTCTACTGTGCATCTCAAATGCTTCACCATCTTTTGACCTACATGAAATATCCCTGTGACAGTCAGTTAAAAAAGAAAAAAAAAGCTCTTCAAAAGAGTACTTGAAAAAATCAGTAAAGATAATGTAATAACTCTTCCTTAACTATTAGCTGGGTAGTTTAACTGGACATTTTGATTAGGTTTCAAGGAGAGGACAAAATCATGACCATTGATAAGAAGAGGTTTCACATACTGTATTAAAGTTTCTGACCATGAATTCTGCTAATGGGCATTCTCAGGAAGGCATAGTATTTTCATTGATTGACTGGAAATTCCAAGTTAAATCAGAGTAATATTCAGAACCAGCCTGGGTAATGGAGTGAGGCAGCATAGCACATGGGCAAAAACACAGACAGGCCTAGATGACGGGAGACACATCAGCCCTGTTGGCAGTTAGGCCCTTCTGGGCTTTGTTACTCATGGGGCAGTGGGGGACAGAGACTGGATCCTGAGAGCCCTCCCACTTCTGAAATTCAAAGCTCTATATCTGAGATGTTGTGTAAATTTTTATTAAAAGGAAAACCAAGGTAAAAGAAAACAACAAAAGCAAAGTAAAAACATTTTTGTACCTGAAGAAACTTGAGAAATAGATAATGAACATGATTCTTCCTTCTAGAAATCCACCTTTATACCTGTGTGTTCTTCCTCCAACCTATTATTCTTGAAAAGTAAAACATTCTTTTAAGGATTAAATGTTCCATTTAGTTTCAAATCATTCCTTTCTTTACCCCTGAAAGACTTTCCTAAACAGATTACATCAACTTTACTCCACTTCCTCCCTTCCTAAAAATTACGACTGGACCAACATCAGACTTTGAAAATCCTAAAAATCATAGAAAAGTAAAAATTGACTCCCTAGGGAAATCTCTCTCCTAACTCTTACAGGTTTTGCTCCTCCTGTGAAGTTTTTCTTTGGGGTTACTTGGCAGCACAGTTTTTGTTGTCGGTTGGTTTGTTTTCCTTTCTAACTGGGTTCTAGAAGGGGCACTGCACTGAAATCCTGCCCATGTGTGTAGCATAAAGGTTCACACACCATGGGTCACCTTCATTCTCAAAGGAATATGGCCAATGAAATGAGGGAGCCGGCTGCTGGAAGTCCATTTCGTTATTGAATTTAAGTCTTGATGTTAGATATTGCACCTTCATTGAAGAATGAAACAGAAAGACACAGAAAGGTGTGAGCACTCTAAAATCATCTGCAGCACTTTTAAGGGTTACACCTGCTAAACCCACCCTTAGAGAGCGGCACCAAAGTGTACAGCTCACCCTTAATTAGGTGTGGTTGGTTTTGAACCTGTGGTTTTCTCAGGCTGTGAGAGCAGGCATGCTATCTCCACCCCCCTCCCCACCCAGTTAATAGGATCCATTCATAGCTACTCACTACTGCAGGGTTTGACCTGAGAAAGGCTAGATTTATTAACTTAGCAGTTGTTTGGGAAAAGTCCTTAAATAATCTCTGCCCTTGGCCAGTCTCCAGTTCTCAGAAGCAGCTGGTGAGGGTCTTGGCCAAGTTCTTCAGATGCGGGAAGTTCTTTAGGACAACCTACTTGGACGTGGCATTCACAGATCTTTCCAGCAGACTTCTGGGATCCAGGAAGTGTTATTCCTGACGCTGCCTGCGACCCAGATACTGGCTAAAAATGTAGTCCAGCCTCTGTAGGTAATCCGCCTCTTTCTCTTTCTTCCTCCATTCTTTCTAGGAGCTGGTGTGGTGATTCAATTTTTCCAAAACAGTTATGTTAATGTGTTCAAAAACCCATTGCTGAGTCTCAGAGAGAGGGTCGCATCTGGCCATGAAAATTTTCTTCTCTGCAGGGTTACAGTCCACGCAGCTGTTGCTCACAAGATGAAATAATGTTCTGTCCTGGAGGAATCAGAAAGAAAAGACAAGACCACTGTAATACATGCCGAATTGTTAGAACCCCAAATACATAGAAGGAAAATGCTTCTGTTTCTATTTCGGTATAAACCAGCTCCCAAATCAAACACCAGCAGATAGGTAGAGTCTGTCAACCCGGAATGCGGTTTCCAGCTTCCACCATCTTGATGTGGGGCCTCGGAGCAGGTTCAATCAGACAAAACTTCATTCGTTCATCCAATCATTCATTCATTTTTTTTTTAATGCAGTCCATCCATTCCTATTCTGTGGTGAGCCTTTGGAGCTATGTGTGGTTTTTGAAGATAACATTTACATGGGGTTGCTTGCCAAGCAGCTACTAATCTAGCGATTTGGGGAGAGACATGCACTCCCAGATTATATTTTAGTCCACGTATACATGTGGCTAGAAAAGTCCCAGTTTCCTCAACACTGAGCCTCTAATGAGAAAGGGAAACACAGCTGCCCTGTTCAGGAGAAGAACAGGGGGACAGAGACAAGTGGCACACAGCACTGGCTGAAGGTGCAAACTGGAGGAGCTTCCAGAGCTTGAGTCTTTTCTCAACCCTGACACTGCGGGTGCACGGTAGAGCAGCTCTCACTGCCTTCTGCAAAGTGGAGGAGCCAACGGGCCTTAAAAAAACCAAACACCAAAAAACCCAGCCCCTGGGTACACGCCGTGGGTGGCAGCTTAGGGAGCAGGAGGTGGGAAGAGTGTTAAAGCTGAAGCGGTGACGGAGCTGGTTCCCTGGACAGGCTCTGTGAACACACGCCCCTTTTCATCACGCAGGCGGGGAAAGGGGGTGATGCTAAAGGAAAAGGCCCCCCCATGGTCTCATGTTTGTCTCCCGTGCACGCTTTTAGAAAGTGCCCCCAAATCACTGCTTAAATACTAGTGATGTTTTCTTATTTAGCTTAGCACGTGTTTAGAGGTCCTGTAACTGAGGAATACAGTTTCTCAGACACCCTCTGTTAACATCCCTGGATAGCTCCTGCATGTTAAGCCTCTATCAATCCATATTTAATGTCCTCCTAGGGTGCGGATGTTTGCGCAGGTAGGGGCTGCGTGGAGAGGAAGGAACTAGGAAGGAGAGAGGTGGCAGGTGACGCCCATTCAGCTGCCCGTTTCTATTTTCAGTGCAAACAATGAGCTTTGCCTAATACAAAGGCTCACTCTTCTCTCAGGCTCTCTCTAAAGACCACGTGTCCTGAGCCCACTGTGGGTTTTACTCTCCTTACACGCAGAGGGCTCCTGAGGGCTTCTCACTGTTTTCTTACCCCAGCTTCTTTAATTTTTAAAAAAATATTTTTGAGACAGAGTCTTAGTCTGTGGCCCTGTGTAGAGTGCTGTGCTGTGATAGCTCATAGCAACCTCAAATTCTTAGCCTCAAGCGATCCTCTTGCCTCAGCCTCCCAAGTAGCTGGGACTATAGGTGCCTGACACCACAATCTGCTAGTTTTCCTATTTTTAGTAGAGATGGGGTCTTACTCTTGCTCAGGCTGTTCTCAAACTCTTTAGCTCAACAAACCCAACTATCTCTCCCCAGCTTCTTCATTAACTACAAGAAACTCTGCCCTACTCTAGGCTGGAGGGAGCAGATTTCACCTTCTTGTCATGGCAGATCCCTCTCTCAGGAGCCCTCGGTCCCAAGGCAGAAGCATCCTTTGCCATCTCCCCTCCTACTTCCTGCGTCTCTCACTCTTGGTGTGCAAATCCCCAGCTGCTGGCGTGCTGCACAGACCTAGATCAGTTTGTCAGAGACAATTCTTCTGGTTGATGTTTTAATTTCCATGAATGTAAAGGGTATGAATACAGCTTCCTTACATGACCATATTGTGTAGCAGTGAAGTCTGGGATTTTAGTGGTAGCCATTGCCACCTGAATCATCGTACCCATTAAGTGATTTCTCATCCTTCACCCCCATCCCACCCTCCCAGTCTTCTGAGTCTCCAAAGATGATTATTCAACACTCTGTGCCCCATGTGGACATGCTATTTAGCTCCTACTGAGGAAGCAGAACATGGGTATTTGACTTTCTGTTCCTGAGTTGTTTCACGTAAGATAATGGTTCATCCATCTTGCCTCAAAAGACACGCTGCATTCTCTTCAGAGCTGAGTAGCACTCCACTGTGTGTGTGTGTATGTGTCACATTTTCTTTGTCCACTCGTCACCTGATGGACACTTGGGTTGACTCCATGTCTTTACGATCGTGAATAGTGCTGTGAGAAACATACATGGGGCCAACCTAAGTGTCCATAAAAGCTAAAAGAAATAAGGCCAGACACGGTGGCTCACACCTGTGATACCAGCACTCCGGGAGGCTGAGGCAGGAGGAACTGTTGAGCTCAAGAGTTTGAGACCAGCCTGAGCAAGAGTGAGACCCTGTCTCTACTAAAATAAGAAATCTAGCTGGCCATGGTGGTGGCTCATGCCTGGAGTCCCAGCTACTTGGGAGGCTGAGGAGGATCTCTTGAGCCCAAGAGTTTGAGGTTGCTGTGACCTGTGACACCACAGTACACTACACAGGGTGGTACAGTGAGACTTGAAAGAGAGAAAGAAAGAGAGAAACAGACAAAGACAGAGGGAAACAAGAAGGAACGAAAATAAGCAAAGCCGTAGGACCAGTTTCTCCTCCCCCTTCCCCAGCTTATGTGCCTCAGCACGCCAGCCAAAGTCAAACCAGATATTTGAAGCATTTCTCACTCATCTGAATGCTATTTTCTGAGCCACAGGGATGGCATTTTTCCTAATCCCACCTTGGAACGCATGCTCTGAAATACAGGTGGTGTTGTGGGGCAGCCAGGTGGGTATGAGATTCAGTACTAACCCTGAACAATCCAGAACATGTTTTCTGAGCTTAGACTTCACATTCTCACAGAAGTTGAAAAATTGGATTCCCTGTCTTTATCCACGCCTGAGAAACTCCATCAGGAAAATGAGGGGGTAGCTTAGAAAAATGTCCAAAGCCTATCCCAGCCATAAAATTGAACAAACATTTTATTCCAAAGTTCACTGGTGACAGAGACAAATGACAAGGTGTCCAGCTGGAGGCCGTCCGCAGCGTCCAGCCCATCAATAGAGCAACGGCTCCCTGGTTCCAGACGCAGCTCTGCTCACCCTTGTCTTCAGGGCACCCAGCAAGTCCCAGAGGTGCCGCTTCTGGGGTGCCCCTTTCTCACCAGGGAAAACACTTTTGACCTTAGGGAGCTACATAATTGCCATCTTTGTTTCTACTCGGCCAAGCTTTCGAATGACTAGATGTCTTTCTTGGTGCTTTTCCTGGCTGGAATGAAGTCAGGGGATGTAGTAAATATTTTTTGAATACAGTCTTCTGTCCCTTGCTCTTGTCACCAGTTGTGACAGGAATGGCTCTAACAGAACTGAATACAATCCCTCCCCACCCCTGCATAGAACAGGCTTCTGAGAGCTTTTGGCAAATTTGCTGTTATGTAACAATCTATCTCCCTTAAAGGACGATGGAAGACGTTCTGTCTTTGCTTTTAGCTAGATTGTTCTTTGTTCAGTCCGAGCAAAGGCATAGGCTCTGGCTGTTACAGGGAAGGCACAGACAGCCTTATGTTTTGCTCCCCTGTCACCTTCCCTGGACACCATTTCCTTTTTTGTTTTTTGTTTTGCCTGAGAAAATTAGAAACCTTTGAGCAGGAAGTGCACAACTTCTGTTCCAGAATTACTGATCTGCCCTTTCTTTCTTTTCTTTTTTTTTTTTTTTTTTGAGACAGAGTCTCACTCTGTCACCCTGGGTAGAGTGCTGTGATGTCATAGCTCACAGCAACCTCAAACTCCTGGCTTCAAGTGATCCTCCAGCCTCAGCCTCCAAGTAGCTGGGACCACAGGCACCTGCCACAACACCAGGCTAGTTTTTCTATTTTTAATAGGGACGGGTCTCACTGTTGTTCAGGCTGGTCCCAAACTCCTGAGTTCAAGGGATTCTCCCATGTTGGCCTCCCAGAGTCCTGAGACTACTGGTGTGAGTCCCTGCGCCTGGCCAGTTCTGCCTTTCTTAATCAACACCACACCATCAGTACTCCCTGAAATCTGGGGTGGCACTTAGATACACCTCTCTGAAGCAGTCCTGTGGGCTGGATTGGCATCTGTGAGACACTTTCTGACATTTGCAAGCCTGAGCTAAATTTTTTATTAGTTTTCACACTCACATCAGGCCCAAACTTTAAAAGAACTAGGAAATTACAGAAAACCTTCCACACTGAGCTAAGGGTATACAGGAGCTGAAGAGCAAAGATGCAGAGAGAATAAAACAGGCCCATGAGCTTCTGACGGACAGGAGGGCAGTCCTAAGGGTGCAGCTACCACATGCGGAGGGAGGCTACATGGCCTCCAGTAGGTGCTTGGGGCTTGTAGCTGGGGCCGGGGGGGAGGGTTGTCTCATTCCGGTCCTGCTACCCACTTGCTGTGTGACCTCAAATATGTTATTTAATTCTATGAACCTTAATATGCTTATTTATGAAACAGGCATGTTAATGTGCCTCTCAAGTTTGTTGTGAGGATAAAATAAGTTAAAATATTGCCATCATTGGCATGTTGTCCTGAGTAGAGGTCAGTGCCTGAGTGATAGTGAGTCCACCCTCCCCTTCCCATACTTTTCTGTTTAGTCAGGAGCAGCCCTGGTTCTGAAAATCACAATATATCAAAAGCCTGGTCTGGGACCAACTATTCTGTGCCAGATTGTGTTTTCTAAAATCCTAGCAGAGTAGATAACCTCTACTGGTTACCCCAACTGATACAACAAAGGCTGGGCTAGGTGGCTCATGAAGTCCAAGACCAGCCTGAGCAAGAGTAAGACTCTGTCTCTACTAAAAATAGAAAAATTAGCTGGGCATGGTGGCACGCGCCTGTAGTTCTAGCTATGCCAGAGGTGGCGGAGGATTGCTTGAGTTCAGGAGATGGAGACCAGCCTGAGCAAGAGCAAGACCCCTGAGGTTGCTGTAAGCTTTGATGCCATGGCACTCTACCCCAGGGTGACAGAGTGTGTCTCAAAAAAAAAAAAAAAAAGATATAACAAATGTTTTTGATTCCTTTAATTATGTTTCTTTCTTAAAAATGTAAAGCAATAATGGTACCTGTATGCAAAATAATACCGTGGAATCTGAGCATTGGTTTGGTTATACATCAATAAAATGTTTACTTTAAACAAAAGGCATGAGAGATAGCTCTTAATTTGGGGGAGGATAACAACAGTTAATATTGCTGAAGAGAGATTGCTTTAGTGATCTGGTATATCAGAATATGCCTCCAGTATGACTGTTAATGTGAAAAGTTCATTTGTCACCCATACAGATGGAAATTTGATAATACATGTGTATGATGGGAAACAACATTAGAGGTTTTACATAGTTTATCTAACTTAATTATTGTCCTAATTGCAGTGAAGAAGTTGGAAGTAGGCATAGATGCAAAGTGGCTTATGTGGCTAAGTAGGGTCAACCATTACCAGACCAAGTGTGACAGGCCACCTTGGAGCTGAGAGAAGACACCTGGTCCTCTACCCAATGAGAAGCCAGCACAGAGGATAAGACAGAGGGATACAATACTAGATGTTGTGAACACCATGTCTACGTCAAGATGGAATAAGTATTGGAAGGGGGAGGACAGGAGGCAAGGCGATGTCTAGGAAGCCATCACATTGACCCTGGGATGAGATGGGAAGGGCAGCCCCAGGGCAGGGTGACAGAAATGAGGGAGAGGGGATGGATTTCAGAGATGGCTGGGAGGAGGAGGTGACATGTATCTTAGCAACCAGTTAGATATGGGGGTTGATTAAGTTTCTTAATTTGGATGTTAGGTGATAACTTAAGTATTTCTACTGAGGTTGAGTCAACAACTCACTGTTCTTGTAACAGGAGTCCCCCTGGTGGCAACAAAAAACAACCTCAAGAACAGGATTTCTCATCTTGGGTACCTGCTGTTATGGGTTACAGCTATAATAGCTAAGGATGCAAAGAGCCACATCTAAAAATAACCAAGAGCTGAGACCACAAAGTGGGGCTTGCTGACCTTCACCCACTCAGGCAGAGTGGCTCTTGCCCCTTCTTTCTCCAAGTATCCCCAAGTAGCTGGAAGAGAATGGTTGGCTGCTATCAGTGGCTCTGAATCCCACAGGAATAGGGGAATTCTCCTGGGAATTTTCCTCTTATTTCTTTTCTTTTATTTATTCCTTTATGTATTTTTGTTTAATTTCTGATTAATATGAGGGTTTCCATGTTTACGTTTGTTAGGTAAGATCCCTGTGGTAGTTGTACCCCTCACTGAGGAGGTGTGCCATGTACCCTTACATTGTGCCTGTTAGGTGGGAGCTCACCCATTCCTCCTCCTTCTCTCTCCCCCTCCCCTAATTTGAATTGAATGATGAATTTTTCTCTTGTGTAGGTGTGTATTAGATCATCCACTGGCTTCATATTCGTATTGAGTACATTGGATACTTGCTAAGGAGTAGAAGTAACTTGCTACTTCACTAAGGAGAATATGTTTTAGATCCATCCAGGTTAATACAAAAGATGTAAAGTCTCCATCTTTTCTGATGGCTGAACAGTATACCATGATGTGCCTGTACCACAGTCTGTTAATCCATTCATGGGGTGATGGGCACTTGGGTTGTTTCCACATCTTGGTGATTGTGAATTGAGCTGTGATAAACATTATAGTGCAAATGTCCTTATGATAAAATGATTTTTTTTTCTCCTGGGTAAATGCCTGGTAATAGGGTTGCAGGATCAAATGGGAGGTCTGAGTTCTTTGAAGATTCTCCATACTTCTTTCCAAAGAGGTTGTATTAGTTTGCAATCATTTTATTTCTTAAGAGCATGGCAGAGGAAAGAGTAGAGACTTTAAAGTCAGATTTACCTGCGTTTGAATGTTGGCACTGCCATAAACCTGTTGGAATCACTTTTTCCCCACATAAACTGTACACAGTAGTACCTTGGTAGTCATGAGGAATGGGGTAAAACACTAGCTCAGCACCTCCCTGATAGTTAGAGATAGTAATGATGCTGATTATCTCAGGGGCAATTAGCACAGTCTTAGGGTTAATTCTGAAAACCCCACGAAGAAGCAAACTCAAATAATTGTTAAACTATTGTTTAACAGTAAGCCTCCAGGGCCAAATACTGCATCTAAACAGATAAGGTAACACAGAGAACTGATTTCTCTTTGTGCTTTAGCTTTTTATACCTCTGACATAGCCATTAGAAAAAAAACGAGGAATTTTCTAAACAGGTACATTTGAATAGGCTGAGTCATCAACCAAGATGAGCCATTTCAGACACTTTCCTTTCCATTTTGAGCCTTTGGATTGTGCCTGATTAAGTGGGAATATCTTGCTCTTATGTAAATACAATCAGTGTAATGTCTTGCTAAGTAAGAGCCACAGCATAATTTACATCTAGCTGGTTTTCCTTTCACAAATTCCTCAGGGACCTAGGAAGATTTAAAGTGTTAAAGCTTGTAAGAGTTACCTCTGGAAATAACCACAGCCTGTTATTTTTCCCTCCCTGGAAGCCCTGTGTATTCACTGGTCTTATCCATCTATAAGCTTTTGTAAGCTCCCTAATGAAAACAAGTGTATTTTCTTGGCTTAATTGGATATTATTGAGTGGTCTGTCTATCATCCTATAAATATACAGTAATGAGATAAGTTCTGTTCACGAGGGACCATAATGTCCTAGGCAAGTGGCAAATCAGGTATTTTATTGATGTGCACAGCAACTGCCTCCTTAAAAGTCAGACTATAATGATTAACAAAAAACCCCACTACTTTATTGGACCATACACAGACTTTATCATGTTGAATAGCAAAGAAGTTTGATAAGATAAATCATTAGAAAGAAACATTTCCTTTCTTCTTTCCTTCTTTCTTCCTTGACAGAATCTCACTCTGTTGGCCTGGGTAGATTGTCATGGTGTCATCATAGCTCACAGCAATCTCAAACTCCTGGGCTCAAATGATCCTCCTGCTTCAGCCTCCTGAGTAGCTGGGATTAAAGGTGCCCATGGCCACACCCAGTTAGTTTTTGTATTTTTAGTAGAGATGGGGTCTCAGTCTTGCTCAGGCTGGTCTCGAACTCTTGGGCTCATAAGATCCTCCCACCTCGGCATCCCAGAGTGCTGGGATTACAGGCATGAGCCACCATCCCCAGGCCTAAATGTAATTTTCTTAACATAGGCACCTCCCAAGCAATTGTGGCTGAGATATATGATAAATGAATGGATGTATTAATTGGTGTGTGTGTCTGTGTGTGTGTGTGTTGTGAATTAAGCCTGTGTACATTTGTCTGTTGGGTACGTATTTTCTCCTTTTGGGATTTGGCTGGGTTAAGCCTAGACCCACCTGGGCAGTGCTAGTTTCTGGCTCAAAGCCATTTGCAATCAACTGATGGTGATGGATGTACATATAAGGAGCAAAGTCAAAACCCTTGTCTTCCTATGTGACACATCTTCCTCTCAGTCTTTGCTGGTGGTCTCCAAATGTGTGAGCCCAACATGTGTGTACATCCAGGTTACACTTTAAATCAAAACAATATGTCTTCAAGGAACATTAGATCATAAATAAATGCAATTGAAAACAAAAGAATAATTAAAAAAATCAATGAAACAAAAAGTTGGTTCTCTGATAAAAGATAAAAAAAATTAATAAACCTATGGCCTGATTAGCTACAAATAGAAACATAAGATCTCTGATAACCTCAATTGGAAACAAAAAGGGGGGGATTGCAACAGATACCACAGAGATACAGGAGACCATTTCTGATTACCACACAAAACTCTATGTCCAGAAATTTGACCATGTAGAGAAAATGGACCAATACCTGGAATCACAAAACCTCCCTAGTCTTAAGCAGGAAGAAATAAATCTCTTAAATAGACCAATATAAAGCACCAAAATTGCAACAATAAAAAAACTTCCAACAAAAACAAGACCTGGACCAGATGGCTTCACACTGCATTCTATCAAACATTCAAAGAAGAGCTTGTACCCATAGTGCAGAACCTATTCCAAAACATTGAAAAGGAAGGAATCTTCCCCAACATGTTCTATGAAGCAAACATCTCCACGATACCAAAACCAGGAAAGGACCCAGCTAAAAACTACAGACCAATTTCAGTAATGAACAATGATGCAAAAATACTCAATAAAATCTTGGCAAATAGACTACAGCTATATATTTAAAAAATGATACGTTATAATCAAGTAGGCTTTATCCCAGGGAGGCAAGTTTGATTCAACACATGCAAATCCACAAATGTTAGCTGTGGCAGTCTGAGAATGGCCCCATGAACTGGCCCTTACCTTCCGGTAGCCCCAGAGCTGGTTTCCCTTCATGCCATGGCAGTCATAAAGGGTGACTGGGCTGTTGTGTGAGATGGCATCAAAGCAGAATTTCCGGGTGTGCAGAGGCTCCCCAGGCCGGATGTCCTCTCTCCATCCAAAGGTGAAGAGCTACCAAAGCAAGTGGAGTGGAAAGGCAGCAGTGAGTTTGATTTGGGAGAAGAGTCCAAAGCAGGGGGAATGTTTTTTAGTCATATGGGACCCTGCTTCTCCTTCTGCTAGCAAGAATAACATCTCAGTGTCACTGACTTGTTGGACCAAGGCTGCACCTGTGCTCAGGCTCCCACAAAGTGCAAAAGAGGCAACCGGGAGTTTTCACTTAGGTTCCAGGAAAAATACAGAAAGTGGTATGGGTGGAGGGGAAGAGAGAGAGAGGGAGGGAGAGAGAGAAAGAGAGAGAGAAATTGAAGAAGGAAAAGCAGAGAGGGAGGGAGGGAGGATGGAAGGGAAAGAGAATAGGGAGAGGTAGAGGAAGAAATCCTTTATATTTGTTCATTTACATAAAATTATTGGATGAAATGCTACACTGTTAGCTAAAGTGAATAGATTAACTGGGGGAAAAAAGGAAAAGAGTAAAGTTAAGCTGAATTGATGCTAGCACCTCATAAAATCTAATTTAAAGGAAAGCAAAACTTGCTAAAGAATAGGGAACTTATGCCAGGTGAGGTGGCTCATGCTATAATCCCAGCACTCTGAGAGGCTCAGGCGGGAGGATCCCTTGAGCTCAGGTCTTCCAGACTAGCTTGAGCAAGAGCAAGATCCCATCTCTACTAAAAATAAAAAAACTAGCTGGGCATAGTGATGGGTGCCTATAGTCCCACCTACTCGGGAGGCTGAGTCAGGAAGATCACTTGAGCCCAGGAGTGTGAGGTTGCTGTGAGCTATGATGACACCACTGCACTCTACCCAGGGTGACAGAGTGAGACTCTGTCACAAAAAAAAAAAAAAAAAAAAAGAATAGGGAAATTAATTTCCTAGTATTGGGAAGAGTAATTCTGAGGGCAGGGCATGAAGTTTTAGAAATAACTCACAATAAGAAACACAGTTCAGGTTCAGTGCCTGTAGTGCAGCAGCTAGGATGCCAGCCACATACACCAAAGCTGGCAGGTTGGAACCCAGCACGGGCCTGCCAAACAATGACAACTGAAACAAACAAACAACAAATAGTGGGGCGTTGTGGTGGGTACCTGTAGTCTCAGCTACTTGGGAGGCTGAGGCAAGAGAATCACTTAAGCCCAAAAGTTTGAGGTTGCTGTGAGCTGTGACACTATGGCACTCTACCGAGGGGTACATAGTGAGATTCTCTCTCAAAAAAAAAAAGAAAGAAAAAACAAAACAAAACAAACTCCCCCACAATTCACACACACACAGCCTTCTGCTGACTCCAACTGCAACAGAACTTTCTGAACTAACATTTATTGTTCCTGCATTTAACAGACTCGGAGGCTCCACTCAGCAATTTCTTATCCTAGTCGATTCTAGCCTGCCCTGTCTATCCCCTTGTATAACATTTATTTAAAATGCTACAAATGATGCACCAAATTGATTTTATAATGCATTCAGTTAACAAACAAACAGCACCCCTGTTTGTTCTCTACTCCAGAAAATGTAGAGAATCTAGTTAAATTCAAGGGAAGGCTGATACGAACAGGAGTGGGAATCTGAAGGGAAAGCAGGAAGAACTGAGTTAAGTGGTCTGAAGAACATAGGAAAGAAATCCCTAAATTAAAGCAATTTTCTGATTGATGGTGGCTGACTACATTCTGTTTCCCTGGAGTGTGAGACAAAAGAGAGTATTTTAAATACAAGGGCAAGGAGTTTAATGTTTGGCATTTGTGTGTGTGTGATTGTGAACTGAAATAATTTTTTGTTTGTTTGTTTTGAGACAGTCTCAGTCCATCACCCTGGGTAGTGTGCCATGGAGTCATCACAGCTCACAGCAACCTCAAACTCCTGGGCTCAAGGGATCCTCCTACTCCAGGTTCCCAAGTAGCTGGGAGTACAGGTGCCCACCACAACATCGGCTAGTTTTTCTATTTTTAGTAGAGATAGAGTCTTTCTCTGGCTCAGGCTGGTCTTGAACTCCTGAGCTCAGGCAATCCTCCTGCCTTAGCCTCCCAGAGGGCTGGACTTACAAGAGTGAGCCACCATACCTGGCTTCAAAAGTTCCTTACTTACTTTTGATTAAATGGACCAGTTATGTCTTTAAAAATATAGCAAATACAGGTGGATCTGTCCCTTGGCCAAATTTAATCATCTATTGTCACAATTCTATATCACGACATCCTTAGATAACTTTTGCTTTTTGTTTCCAGGTATTATCATGTGACAATCATTCTTGGGTTTGTAGACTGACTGAGCCTGTGGTTTTCTCGGTGATTTATGTGCTGGTTTCGTGGTTACTTTCCTGAACCCCAGGTGATAGGCCTTCAGATTGCATCAGCTGCCATCAGCTACAATCCTTCTCTCTCACGTCTTTGGAGTGCTTTTCACTGCCATTTGTCCTATCCTAGTGGTCACGTCAAACCAAGCAGGTGTTTAGCCTTTTGGACTCTAGACATACTGCCCTGCATGCTGTCTCGTCCAAGCATAAGTAAAGCAGATGTTATGAAACCGCACTCATTGTTTTCTTTGGGCGATGTTACTGTGACATCCATAGCTGGTCTTCCCCACTGGGTTGTTCTTACTGACAAAAGTACTTAGATTTTGTTTAGGTTTTCTATACAATAACCCGATTTTTTTTCTCCCCTCAGTTTTAAAGTAAACTGTTAATTTCTCATCTTTTGAGTGATACTTTAAAAAAAATTATTATTTTTGACATAGAGCCTCACTCTGTGCTCTGGGCTCAAACTCCTGGGCTCAAGTGATCCACTTGCCTCAGCCTCCTGAGAACTGAGTAGCTGGGACTACAGGCATGAGCCATCATGCCTGGCTGGTTTTTCTATTTTTAGTAGGGGCAGGATCTCGCTCTTTCTCAGGCTGGTCTCCAACTCCTGAGCTCAAGGAATCCTCCTTCCTCAGCCTCAGAGTGCTGGGATTGCAGGCGTGAGCTACCATGTCCAGCCTTGAGTGAGACTTTTAAACATAGATTTACAATGGTTGCCTTTATCTCTTTGTAGTGTCGGTGGCTGGGTCTGTGCTGTATTCTCTCTGTGGGGAGTTATATTCTAAGGCATCATTTTGTATTTTACAGAAATCTGAGATACGGCACCTTCTCCTCACAGTTTGTGCCTGTCTCGTGCTCTGAGTTAATAGTGAGACTTTTTTTTTTCCCAAAGGAAAGGTATCTCTGAGTTGCTGTCTGGGTGTATCCCCCCCAGGTCTTGGAGAGGGACCATTCATCTGCCTCCTTCCCTTGAAGGCGGCCAAAGTAGACCCAGGAGGGCTCCTCCTGTTGCCTCTCACTTGGATTCCCAGCAGGAGTTGAGAGGATCCTTCCAGACCTTACTTAGTCTTACTGGGATCTATTTTTATTTTTTCATCTCGGCCCCTGAAGGAAAATGAGTGCCAGCACACAAAGCCCCGGTGACATCCCGAAGCAGACTGCCCTGGAACAGTGAATCATGTGTTTGCTTCCTTCATGGAAGGCAGATTAATCACCAGCAGCACCACATTCTACAGCAAAAGGCATTTCCTCACACTGGGGCTTCAAGGCATCCTTCTTTATTTCCCACGTAGCAATTTTATTTATCTGCATTTTATTTTTGCCACTTGTTTCATTTATTTTTTTGGGGGGGGGGAAGGAATCATTTCAACTGTAATAAGTGTGTTTTGGTGTTCTCTGGATGCTTTTGAATTAAAAAGAATGCTTGTCCACAGCCTTAACCTTTGAACATGCCCCATCTTGGCTGAATTAAGGAGGGTGCTCATAATCTTCATATGCTCCTTTTCTCATCTAGGAGTTTTAATATAAATGTAGAAGAATGAGTCCTAATTCTTATAAGTTATTGAGTAATATATTGACTAAAGCTGACAGTTAATTACTGGAGAATGAAACAGCTTGTAATGTTTTAACCTCCAAGTCGATATGTGGTGGTGCATATTTCAAATACGATGCGCTTTCCATCTCCTGTCAACCTCGTTTAATCTTCCTGCATTGTGCCTTTTTTAGGGTCTCTAGGGACCTGCAATCTCCTTTTTTTAAAAGAACTGCAGTTAATTAACTGGTCCTTCTGTCCCTCCTATGACAGTTCTCTGCTTGTCTCGTGCTGCCCTCTGGTGACCTTTACTTGAATTGCAAGCCACAGATTTTGGCCACAGCCTGAGGAGAGAAGAAAGGAACCAACAATTTTTAGTGTATGCGATAGAGTCAGTTTTGCTTTTATTCCTGTGCAGCTGTTAAGTCAAATCTTCAGGCCAGAGAAGATTTCATTCTAGAGCGTGGCTGGATAGAAATGTTATACCCGTTGCAGATGAACAGGCGTCTTTTGTGTCCCCAGCTGTGAGATAGGTTCCTGGTGGGGCTGAGGGTGGTGGCAGAGGGAATGTTAGCGTCCCTGCTGGGGGTGATGGGGCCAGTCTTCTGTTTCGGTTTTTTATAAGAGAGGCATTATAGGCTCGGCGCCGGTAGCTCAGCGGCTAGGGCGCTAACTGCATACACTGGAGCTGGTGGGTTTGAATCCAGCCTGGGCCTGCCAAACAATGACAACTACAACCAAAAAATAGCCAGGCGTTGTGGCAGGAGCCTGTAGTCCCAGCTATTGGGAGGCCGAGGCAAGAGAATCTTTAAGCCTAAAACTTTGAGGTTGCTGTGAGCTGTGACACCATGGCACTCTACCCAGGGCGACATAGTGAGACTCTGTTTCCCACAATCCTGACCCTGAACTTGGAAATCTATCCTTCCGCAGAGGGACAGAGACAATAGGATGGGGGAGGGACACTGTGATTTTTATTCTTAAAACATGGCAATGCACATTGACGCTCGTGCATTTGAGCGATGAATGTTTAAACTTGTCTGCTGTGATTATTTTCTATAGTTTCCTATCAAAGGGGCCGACATAATTCTACCCACTATCTTCTGCCTTTCACAGGTGACACAGCGGGAGGAAAGCCGCTTACAGGGACTGCCGAGTTTCCAAGCAGGCTAGAAATTGTACCTCACTTACACTGAGTGGCATTGCAATGTTTTTGGTCAAAGCAATACATGGTCTTAAAGGATCTCATGACATCACATCGGGGTGGTGCTGCCCCACAGTCGCCTTTGCACCTCAGGTTAGAGACCACTGTAACAACAGGAGAACCTTCTCCAGTGTCCATCTCAGGGAAGAGCCCAGGGCGGGACAGAGAGAGGGGGTGAGATTGTTATGCGCCAACTCCATCTTGCTGGGGGCTTTCAACACTCCCCCTTTAAGACAGGAAGCTCAGCTGAAAGAGTTTAGTAATAACTGCAAAACCCCAGCTTCCCTTTGTAAGGACTCACCTGACCAGGTGTTGGCTCTTGTCAAATTCAGCTTGCATTAGGGACTCCCCCCTTCCCTACCAAAAACCTCTTATAAAAGGTTTCCACCCCTGTTTCTAGGGGTCAAGAGACTGAGCTGTAAGCCCGCTCTTGGCCTGGCCGATGAATAAAGCACCCTTGCTTAATTTAGACTCAGTGTGCTGGTGCTTCTCTATTCCACTTGCTTCGGGAGAATAAGATTAGATAAAGTCTCAAACACAGAACAGAATCTTTCATTAAAAACTAGACTTTATGACTGGGCTTGGTGGCTCAGGCCTGTGATCCTAGCACTCTGGGAGGCTGAGGTGGGAAAATCCTATGAGCTCAGGAGTTGAGACCAGCCTGAGCAAGAGAAAGACCCTGTCTTTACTAAAAATAGAAAAATTAGCCAGGCAGGGTGGTAGGTACCTGTAGTCCCCAGCTACTTGGGAGGCTCACGCAGGAGGATCGCCTGAGCCCAGGAGTTTGAACTTGCTGTGAGCTATGAGGCCAAGGCACTCTACTCAGGGTGACAAAGTAAGACTCTGTCTCAAACAAGCAAATAAACAAGCACCCCCGCCCCCTTGACATTTAGCTGGAAGAGTTCAATAAGCATTCTATATGCTTTTCATGTTTTAACAAGTATCGTTTTGGAAAAGGAAGTAAGGCAAGGCTCACAATCAACTGTCTACCATCATTCCTGTTAGTGAAGGCACCACTGCATGAACTATCTTAATTGATTATCATAACTGCTTTGAGAAAAACAGAAAGAGAAAAGTTAACTGACTCCCTTAATTACAGGGCTGGCTGCAGACAGGCTGCCTTTGTCCCAGGTCCCATGTGGGCCATCTAGTGATGTGTCCCGCTGTGTCGACCTGATGCCATGGGTCCTTAGAGCTGACATACCTGTTCGTGAGACCATGTTCTCTCAGAGCCATCCTTGACACAGACGTCCAGCCTCAGCTCTGTCCCTGTGGCTCCATGCTTGCTGTCCACGCAGAGATTTGCTGCCACGTTTCGAATCTGTGGAAAGAAGAAAGTTGAACATGGGGCTGGATCACATCACAGCATCACTGTGAGCTCTCCAAAGAGAGTCTCTTTTTGATTACGTGAACTGCTGAATGAGGCCTGGAAAGTGCATGTCATTTCTGGAGAAAAAGCAGGGAATCAAATATAACATGGTCCATTCCACCTTGGGATCTGTTATTTTCCTACTTCAAAGCACCTTTCACCATTGACACCCCAGCTGGGGGAGGGGTCCAGTACCAGGGAGGTGGTGCAGGTCCAGCGACTGATGGAGTAGAGTGGTCACTGGGCACTGCCTGGCCCTGTGCAGAAGACAATGGTGATCTTGGCCGAGTGTGGTGGCTCACACCTGTAAACCCAGCACCCTGGGAGGCTGAGGTGGGAGGATCCCTTGAGGTCAGGAGTCCCAGACCAGCCTGAGCAAGAACCAGATCCCATCTCCACTAAAAATAGGAAAACTAGCCGGGTGGTGGTGGGCGCCTGTAGTCCCATCTACTCGGGAGGCTAAGGAAGAAGGATGGCTTGATCCCAGGAGTGAGGTCGCTGTGAGACACCACAGCACTCTACCCAGGGTGACAGAGTGAATGAAACTCTGTCTCAAAACAATAAAATAAAACAAGCTGAAGCAGCAACAGAAACTGTCCCTTCCGTCTCACCTTCTTGCCTGAAGCCTTCACCCATCCTGCTGTCAGTGTCAGAACCACAGTCTGTGTGGAGCGGAGTGGGATGTGGTGGAGACTTTGCTACTTAGACGTGTGTGCTTGAATAAACACCATAATCTCAATTCTTTTTATGCTTTCACATGCTCCTGAAAAACTGCCTTAGGTATTTTTAAGAATGGACACAAGAATAACACGTGTTGCCAGACCAGGGAATCCGTCCACCTGTCACCACAGCCAGTGAATGGAGAAGCGGCTGAGAGCTCAACAGTTTCACTCTTACTTACAGAAAAGCCAGCGATTCTGGAGAACAGTGAGGATAACTCCTCAAAGAGCTGCTCTGCCCTCCTCTTTCCCTTTGTTACTTTTTATTCTCACAGTGAAAGTAACATCAGTAAGGTTATTACTCATCAGAGTACACGGCCAGCAGAGTCCCCTTTACAGTTACACAGTTACACATCAGAGCGTTTTCTCCTCTCCACGACATTTATATTTATATTTATGTTTAGTCAGCACTTCACTGGATGCACTGAGCACCCTGGGTCCTTGGCCGGGTACCACGGAGTCCGTCCTGTTACCCAACTTCTCTGTGACAGTAGCCTTGGAAATGAATAAACAACTTCCAGATGCCAGCACGTGGGCTCACTCGGCTTTGTTAGGGCCGGACCAGCAGCACCCTGCAGGAAATGGCCATTCAGGTGAACGGTGGCTGGTACCACATGGACCCAATGACAATTTTATAGCCAAGATTCTTTTTCCTGAAATGAGCACGCAGCTTAAGGAGTTTCTCTGCAAGAACAGAATGCAGGAACGGGGCCCCTCCTGTTGGGGTGAGCAGGTGCAAATATGGATGAAATATGCTGGGTGTGGGAGGAGACAGTGGAGGTGGAGGGAGCTACTCTCCTGTGACAGCGTCAGTCAGGAAGGAAGCAAGGTGGTTACTAGTCTCCTTATTCAGGGCAACACGTGGGTTCATTCTTCCACTCTTAGACATCTGTTTCCAGGGTCTCTGTGCCTGATGATGGGGAAATGTGGAATAATACAGGTATATTTATTTATTTATTATATTTTTGGGACAGATTCTCACTTTGTCACCCTGAGTAGCATGCCATGGTACCATCATAAATCACAGAAACCTCCAACCCTTGGGCTCAAATGATCCTCCTGCCTCAGCCTCCCGGGTAGCTGGGACTATAGGTGCCCATCACCATGCCCAGCTAGTTTTTTTATTTTTAGTAAAGACGAAGTCTCACTCTTGCTCAGGCTGGTCTGGAACTCCTAGTTGAAGGGATCCTCCCTCTTTGGTGTCCCAAAGTGCTGGGATCAGGTGTGAGCCACCTTGCCTGGTCAGGGTTAATGCATCCTTAACTTGGTATGACCTACAGACCTCTCTGAGGACCCAAGTAGAAGCAGAAACAAACTAATAAAGCTCTAAGTGGATACACACAGGTGCTTTGTGTCCATTGTCCTGGAACCCACACCCTTCAGAGCTGAATCCTCAGTTAGGGACAACAGTTTTCTCCTACCCCTTGGATCCCTTGTCTGAATGACTCCAGGAGATGCAGAAGGCTGGGAATGGCTGGTCGGGAGGCTCCCGAGTCTGTCTCTCACTTTTTCTCCACCTTCTCGAAAAACAACTATCAAGGTTAGGGGACTTCTCTGTGGATCTTGTGGAGCCAAGTTTAACATATGCCTTTTGTAAAATCAACTTCTTGATGTGCAGTGAATGGTATTTTCTCTGTATGGAATAGAAACACCCAGAAGGTCAAGGTCAGATTTTGCTGTGGCTGTCTTGAGCCTCTGTAAAAGCTCCTGTCTGATCGCTTTCTTGGGGTCCAAGGCAATGGTTTTTTAAAGCTGTCCCAACCCCTCTCTCTTTCCTCATTCTTGGGCCATACAACTCAGGGGCATGCTGTCCTTGGAGAACCAGTAGGAATTTCTACTGAAGATGACTTCAGGGACCTGTTATTCCCCGCTCTTGAGTCCAGGTGCTCTGAACCACATTTTGGGAGGGAAAAGGAGCTGCTTGCAGGTTCACAGGCCACCAGGCCCCAGAGGGAGGGAGAAGCCAGCTGACTGTCTTGTGTGTGTTGCTGGCATTTGAACTCAGTCCCTGGAGGGTTGTGTTCTTGGACAGAGAAGATGTGGGGAGAGAAGGACAGAGACTCACCAGTGACACGGAGGGGCACACCTGCCAGGCCTGCCCACAGATGCACACCAATGCCCTTTGTTGCTTTTAAATGTTATGAACTCTAAAGAGCCCTGGCGGGGATGAAGGATACCATTCTCTAAACTGAATTTTCTAAAAATCAGAACGTGGGATACACAATGGGATTAACTGATTTGGAAGCCATATTTCAAGCTTCGGAGGATAATTGTCTACATCTGCATAAATTCTGCCCACCTGACAGTTGTGCCAGGGAGGACAGGACCAGGCAGGTGGCCGAAGCAGGTGAGCGTCTGGCTGCTCTCCCAGCCTCTCCCTTCCTCTTCTCAGACCAGGGTGGGTCTGTTGGTCCCCTGCCCAGGGCACGTCTGACCCTTTCCTCTTTTTCATGGACTCAATGCTGCCAAGACACACAGGTGACTCATAGTCTCACAGAACAGACTCTGGTCCTTTTCATGCAAATAAAGTTTTTTTTAAAAATACTGACCAGAACACTTTAACATGAGGGATTTTTTTTCCAAAGTAGAGGCTCTGTAGCATGGCAGAAGGTAAAGTCAGGGGTACCCACACACACACACCCCCCAATTCCAGACATGGGTCAGATCTTGACTATACCCATGACAGAATCGGTGGTTTTCAGGCTTTATTCCTTTGATGTCCAACATCAGGGCTTGACATCCTCAAACCGTGTCAAGGAATCCTGTGGGACGCTGAGTAGGATTAGAAAGTGAGGTGGTGCTTGCAGAGAAATGGGTGGGAAGAGCGGAAAATGAGGGGAGTAGGAATGGTTATGTATGACAGGATCACAGAGAAAATCTCGGGGCAAGGCTTAGGGATAGAACCGACAGAAAGTAAGAGATTTTTTTAAGTATGCAAAAGAAGGCTTGGCTTTTTAACATCATTTTGGTATTCCTCCGACATAAGAAATTCTTCAGGTCCTCTCTCTCTCTCTCTCTCTTTCCTTCCTTCCTTCCTTCCTTCCTTCCTTCCTTCCTTCCTTCCTTCCTTCCTTCCTTCCTTCCTTCCTTCCTTCCTT